AGTGCCAACCCCCCTCCCACCCAAATTTATGCGTAGCCAAGGCTTGCTGCTTTCTCCCTTTTCTCTGAAGATGGCTTCTCGTATGGAGCAGAAAGCTCAGAAGAATAAAATTGTCGTTCCAGAGATCGCGTCTTCTTCTTCCTTACAACAAGAACCTGGGGCACGCGTATTTGCTTCTATTTGTGAGTCTTATTTACATTTCCTGGGGCTTCTGGCACCAAGTCTACTCTGACTGCCAATCTTCAAAAGACCGCCGTAACTGCAGAAGAAAGGCAGAAAAGTATTTAATTTAAATTTATATTGAAAGCAAGGGGATACAATGAACTATGTAGTCGATAGAGTGAATCTTCAAATGCAACTAAAAGGACATATTTAGACTGGCCACTGCCAGGGCAAGGAATCCTGAGTGCGTTAAAATGTATGCCGTGTTGGGCCATTCCAGAAAGTACGTTGGATAGACCAGCATGCCTGCGTTGTCTTGAGGCGTGAATTTGTAAACTTCCGTACTTCCGTCTCCGTTAGCCAGGCTGAAGGATAAACTCTCATTCTTTATAGTTCCCGTGACTCGCATGATTTTGTACACTTTGCCACCGATATGTGCTATAAGAGAGGGAAGCTAAATTAAGTTAATTCTTTGCATACTGAGTATAAAGCAAAGTTTGTTAGCAGTCTATTATATGAAATGGATCCGACAAAGCAAGGAAAGACTGGAATGGCCATTCCTGGCTTGTTAGCTGTCATCAGTCAGTCATAGCAAATCTCAAAGGTTGGAACCCCTGAGATTCCAGCCCGGGACCTTTAGTTATTGAGTTTAATAGTGACTGATGACGGCTAACAAGTCAGAAATGGCCATTCCGGTCTCCCTTTGCTTTGTTGGATCCATTTCAGCATATCTTCATAGTCGCTATTTGACTGCCTACGTGGCCTCTAATTGTGAGCGCCGTGATAGATTTAAGCGCATCGGCTTGCTTTCCTTTTTAGCACTGTAACCATCGTACCTCGGGTGACCGATCAGCTATGCAGTGGCCTCTTCCTGGTGTTTAGGAAGAGAGTGAGCATATATCAACATATACA